GAGCAGGCGCGGGGCTGCGCCGGGACCAACCCGGGACGGCTTTACTTTATTATTATTAATACTGGTCGGGAGGGGACCCCAAAATGGGCAGGGGAGGGGCGGGAAATTCCGCGCAAAGTTTGGGCGCCGGCCGCCGTCGTGCTGCGGCCGTCGGGCTGTGCGGCCGTTGAGGGCCGTTGGGCTGTGCGTCCGCTGGGCTGTGCATCCATCGGGCTGGCGGCCGTTGGGGGCCGTTGGGCGGCGTGCGTGCGGGGCTGTTGGCCGTTGGGAACCGTTGGGCTGGGGCCGTTGGGCTGCGCGCGCCGGTCGGGCGGCAGGGAGGGGCCCGGGCACGCCAGGAATCTGGCAGCTGCTGCTGCGCGGCGGGGGGAGCTCCCGGGCTGCCTCTCCTCCTCCTCTCCTCCTTCTCCCTCGCTAGTTTTGGGAAGTGATCAGCGATGAGCACGGGATTGACCCAGCCGGAGGCTACGTGGGTGACTCAGCGCTGCAGCTGGAGAGGATCAACGTCTACTATAATGAGTCTTCTTGTAAGTGTGGGGTGGGGACACTCCCGATGGGAAGTGGTGTCCGGAGATGTGGAGCTCTGCRGGTTCATGACACCGAATTGCACTTGTGGCTGCCCCTTCTTATGCTCTRTCTGCTGCTATCTCCCAAACAAAGTGGGGAGAAGTGACAGAGAAGGGCTGTCCCTATGGGCACGGCCTTGTGATCTGGAGGTGTAAGTTTGTTAGCTAACGCCACAATAGGTGTTTGCTCTTTGAACATATAATTAATTCATCAGATGTATTATCAATTGCTCTGAATTAGGGCATTGGTCAGATGAGCCTGCATCTGGAGAGCGCTGTTCTGATACYGATATCAGGCCTGACTAGTCTGGCTGTAGGTAAAGGAGGACTCAGGGGTGATTCATTAATAAGATGACAAAGGTGCCTGAGTCCCTTGAGTCATTTCAATGTTAGAGGGTGTTATATTGCAGAATGGGGATCGTAAGTCCCCTCAGCCTGTTGATGTGAACTTGCAAGGGTGTCTTAACTTGTGTGATGTACTCATTTACAAGAACTTCTTCCAGCAACTTCAGTGGGATATGGAATTCCTTATTTTCCTCTGTGGTAGCTGTGTGCTCAGCTACTGTTGTTTATCACCTACCTTAAGCATCTCTGTGGAGATGATTCTTCAAGTATGATGCTTGTAAAGTGTGCCAGAATTATTTGGACCAGAAAAAGTAAAAACCTACCCTTCAATTCATGCCATGATGTACAGGAAAGAGTGTTTCAAACATTCCTTCTAGTTAAAAACTTCASTTGCCTGTATTTGCTGATAAAAAAGAGCTTTAAAAAAGTCATATGCCCTATGACCAAACCCCAGAAGASTGAAAGGCTTTTTGAGCAGAACTGATATATGTTCCCATGGTCCTGGCTTTTTTTGTTTCCCCCCTGCCTTGTGATTTCCTGTATAGGAAGTACTTGTATATGTACACCCTAAACTAGGCTAACACAGAATGTATGAAAGCAACAAGCGATTAGGTTTACATCAGCATTCATGTCATACTTGCTTTCTATTGTAGCTCAGAAATTTGTACCAAGAGCAGTCTTGGTGGACTTGGAGCCAGGAACCATGGACAGTGTGCGGTCTGGTCCTTTCGGTCAGCTCTTCCGGCCTGATAATTTCATCTTTGGTATGTGGATGTCACTTTTTTTATATTAAAAAAAAAAAAATCTTAACAGGTGTTCACCTACCAAGCAAATGGTCTAAAAGTACTCAACCTGTGTTACCTGCTCTGTATTTCCAACAGCTTAATGTCATCATTACACTGAGAAATCTAATAGTTTAACAACGTGATTCCAATTAGCCATGAGGCAACCGTCTGAAAAATCCTATTAACTGAAAGAGTCATTCTCTGTTAATCATTTTCCTTTAATTAACGAAGTATTGAAAGCTCTGATAATACTCGGATAATCTACATTGGCTTTCAGTATGCGTGAGCTCTATGGAAATTCTGAGACTCTTATTTACAACAAAACTCATGGAAATTCTGCAGAAAACGAAGGAAAAACCTCAACCGCAAACCAGCCAAACCATAGTTAAGTTGATTTCACGTCAAATCCTTGCATGTGACATTGTTTAGAGACTATGTAACTTATTTAACTTTTTCAGCAGTTCACTAAAATGCAGTAAATAGTGGAGGACCACTAACAGTAATGTGAAAACACTATTGTATGTGTACAATTACTAAGTTATTTTCTAACATAATGAGGAACCCGAAAGCATGTGGGGAGCTTCTGTTTTTGCAGCTCTTGGGAAGTTGTTTTTTTTGTGGATGTTGCTGTTTTACTTTGYAGTCCTCTAGTGCTTCCCATCTAAGTTTAAAAATGCATGTTATCAGGATGAAATTTCACAGTGTGCTTGTGAAATACAGAAACACTTGGGTCTCTCCACACTAAAGAAGAAACAGTGTGTGAAAGTCAAGTGCTCTGCTTGCCCAAACAGCAAGCCTGAATGAAAGTTACCACGAGAACTGTCATCTGCACTTGGTTTCCAAGGCTGCATTAGCCACAAGACGGTCTTCCCTGCTGAGGCAAGCTGAGACTGCAGCTCAGCTTGGTATATTGGGTTAACATAACGAACGAACAATGTCAGGGACAGAGRAATAATAAACATGATTTGGGAGATATAAAACAAACTCTAGCCCAGATTTTTGGCCCAGACTTCCCTGTTCACTCCCTTTCTCCTGAGCAGACCCACTGCAGCACCCAGGAAMTGAGTTCACCGACCTTTCAAAATATCTGAATCAGAACTTTAGCTTGGCCGCGAGCGTCTCCAACAATAGCGCAGCTCACTGTCCTCCCCTCCCGCCCAGCTAACAATGTGCTAGTGGCGTGTGAGCGGCCGCTGTCTGACAGGGGCCGCCTGCCAGCGTCAGGCACCGGCCCCCCAACCTGCTGAATAATGCAGAATRGCTGCCCGAGTGCTGAAGTAAGGATGTGCTGTGTCCAAAGCCAACAAAGCGATTTGTATTCTCCTTTACAAATTTAGCTTGGGCCCACAAAGGATTTTGTGGCAGGAGTTAGCAGTTCCACGCTCGTGTCCCAGGCTGCCAGGGCTTGTTCGGMGGGAGATGTTTACAGTCTCTGCTTGTTTCTGCACACATGTGTGGGGGTGGCCCCATGGTGAGGGGTCTGTGTCTTGTCTGCATCCTTGTTGTTTCTGCTGGATACACTGCAGCTTAGGTTATGCCTGAACTGGTAGGGACAGCCAAAATGGCTGTTGGACACGCAGAGGAGCTGCCTTTCCCCCTCTAAGTCAGGCGCTGTGCACACTGAGGCATTAGTGTGCAAACTGTCAGTCTCTCTTCCCAGGCTTATCTGTTATGGCGATGAGAGAGGGAAGGGGTAAAGGAGATTGAGGCCATGGAATAGCTGTGGRGGATGGCTTCTGTATGTGCACAACTCACCTTGATAATCAGTAATAACCATATGATGCACTGGAGGATGAAGTGGCAGGAGGACCTGGTAGCTGGAGGCACCAGGAGTGCAGGATCAGAGGTGGGAGCTCTTCTTGTGGACTGGCTCTTGTAAATGCTCAGTGAGAAACGCAGAGGCAGGATGCCGGAGACTGGCTTCATACAGCAGATTTTCCAGGGTTAGTAAGATTTGCTGTAGTCTTTATTTTTGTGTACACACTCTCGTTTTTCACCTACAGGTTTAGTTCAGATGGAACTTGGTAAATTCCTCTTTACCTAAGATTTGCAGATGCTTGGTAGACAGAGCGATGTGCTGCCCTGTTGGTAGCAGGGTATCTCTGGGGTAGCAGACCAGCAGGGGTAGCAAGTGCACATTGGGCAGTTTGGATCCCATTCAGTTTTGGAAGGCTTTTATTTTGTACCTTGTGCAGCTGGTCAGGAAGCGCTGAGCCTTGCAGGCTCTCAAGAGAGGCAAGTAGAGCACCCTATAGAGCAACACAGTACCAAAACAAGTGCAACGCACAGAAAGCAAGTTCCCATGCAGTGAAACTCAAGTGCATCAGACTGAACAAGGTATTGCTCACGAGTGCTGCTTGCTCAGCTTGCTGGGATTAGAGRCACAGTGTCTTTAAGTAGCGGAGTCTGTAAGGAACAGAGGTTCCTGCTCTCCCTTTTAACCAGTCTTGTTTTCCAATGAAATGGTGACATAGCAAGATGGTCCATCGTAAAATGTTGAGTGGATTGTGCAGGACACGTAAAAGGAAAACGGAAGCCATGGGGAGAAAATGAAGGGCTCATTAAACAATAGTAATTCAATTCAGCAAGTTGCTTTTCACATTCTGAAGAATGGCAACTTCCTAGGGAAGTTTCTTTTAATCTGTATTTTGATTCAGGGAAATGAAATAATGTTTCTTAAGTGCAGCCTCATCCTTGAACAACACTGATGGCTCCTGTGAAAAWGCAGCAATGTGCAGGAACAGTCCAAGAACCTTTCATTTAGAAATGTAGCTGTGATTTAGCTCTGTGCATCTCATGTTCTTTATAAACAGAAAGCATTTAAATGTAAACACTCTCCTCATGTTTATGGAATAAGCAGGATTGGGAATGTGAAAGCTTTCAAAACAATGAGTTGAGGCTGTCTCTGCATTTATAGAAAGTTAGGTATCTAGAAAGAAAAACTACTCAACCAAAAAGRCACATATGAAAACTAGCAGGGATTTGAAGCAAAAGGAGACTGCATGAAATATTCCTGTTGACATTTCTGAAGATATTTGCAGGCAAAATGGAAAACTACAACTATCTGAAAAATTTACTTTCATTATCAATGCGCTTTTATTATCAATGTGATCTGCATCCARTATGTATCCAAGAACCATAGCCCATCAATAACTTTGTATATTTTTTTGTCCCCCTTGTGTTAGGACAAACTGGTGCAGGAAATAACTGGGCTAAAGGACACTATACAGAAGGAGCAGAGCTGGTCGATTCTGTACTTGATGTAGTAAGAAAAGAGTGTGAACACTGCGATTGCCTGCAAGGTTTTCAGCTCACTCACTCCCTGGGAGGAGGGACAGGGTCTGGCATGGGAACCCTCCTCATCAGCAAAATCCGGGAGGAATATCCTGACAGGATCATGAATACGTTCAGTGTCATGCCCTCTCCCAAGGTCTCGGATACAGTGGTGGAGCCCTATAATGCTACCCTCTCAGTCCACCAGCTGGTTGAAAATACAGATGAAACCTACTGCATTGACAACGAAGCCCTGTATGATATTTGCTTCCGCACCCTCAAGCTCACCACTCCCACATACGGAGACCTAAACCACCTGGTTTCTGCCACCATGAGCGGGGTGACCACGTCTCTGCGCTTTCCGGGCCAGCTCAACGCCGACCTGCGGAAGCTGGCAGTGAACATGGTGCCGTTCCCCCGCCTCCACTTCTTCATGCCCGGCTTTGCTCCGCTGACCGCCCGAGGCAGCCAGCAGTACCGCGCGCTCACCGTCCCCGAGCTCACCCAGCAGATGTTCGATGCCAAAAACATGATGGCCGCCTGCGACCCAAGGCACGGGCGGTACTTGACCGTGGCTACAGTCTTCCGTGGCCCCATGTCCATGAAGGAGGTTGACGAGCAGATGCTGGCCATCCAGAACAAGAACAGCAGCTACTTTGTGGAGTGGATCCCGAACAACGTCAAGGTGGCCGTGTGCGACATACCCCCGCGCGGGCTCAAGATGGCCTCTACCTTCATTGGCAACAGCACCGCTATCCAGGAGCTCTTCAAAAGGATTTCTGAGCAGTTTTCTGCCATGTTCAGGAGAAAGGCCTTCCTGCACTGGTTCACGGGAGAAGGCATGGATGAAATGGAGTTTACAGAGGCCGAAAGCAACATGAATGATCTGGTTTCAGAGTACCAGCAGTACCAGGAAGCTACAGCAAACGATGGAGAGGAAGCGTTTGAAGATGAGGAAGAAGAAATCAATGAATAAAGAAATTGCCAAAAGATTTATTTTTTTCTCCCCAGGCCAAATTCTCAAATCTGGATTTCTAATAATTAGGCTTATAAATCTGTATTGAAGCTTCAAAGAAAGARGAAAAGGAGTGTAAGCCTCAGATGTTAGAGGTGCTTTTTGGAGTCCATTGTGTTCACTGGGAAGTGAGGCTGTTGAGCACTTCTGGAAATCATGGCCCATTTCTAATCATGGGACAAATGTAAGGCATTCAGCTAATACTTTGGCCTATGCATCTGAACACAGAGATTGCCRGTTTGGGATATTTTTTTCTTGCTGCTCCAAACAGAATTTGTCTTCCRTAACGTTGTACAAGAAGTAAAACAGGCATGAAAATCTGCAAAACAGCTGCACTATTTTCATCAGTTATGAATAAGAAAAGCTCATGAGTTTGAAGTAGTCATTCTGTATTGAGTGTACAACACTGAACTGCCAGGAATGAAATTTATTCATAATAAAAAGAAAAAGATTTAACTATTCTACCCATTAAAGGCTAACAATGATGTTTAACTTCAGTCCTCAAGTAGCGAAACAAAATAAAGATCAGCATCCTGCCAAGCACAAGTGTTTTGGGGACGTACCGCTGGGTAAATGTCCGGGGAGCTGCAGGCTATAGGATTTACGCTGTGCAACTTGGTTGTGTGCTGCAGGGTAATCTCAGACTGTGAAGAGGGAGGCTGCCCTGGTGCAGTGTGCTCCCTAGAGAGCGTCGGTGCTCAGTCGGGCGCCCCTGTGCCTCGCTGGTGCCGCTCAGGTGGCAGCTCTGGCGCTCCTGAGGGCAGCTCCGCTCCGCGCGGGGCCGGGAGCTGCTCTGCAGAGCRTGTGGGAGATGAGGTGCACGTTGTTCCTGCCCCACTCGGTAAGCGCATCGCCCCTGTGGATGCCCTGCTTTCCAGGGCAGTGAAACCACAAGGCAGACACCAGATAAAATATGAAGAAAAATAATAACAAAAAGTGCACCYATCCCTGATTTTCAAGAGTCAGTGCAGTGAAAGCTGGAGGAGGGTTAATGTCTTCATGCTACGGCTAAAGGGGGAGGGTTTGTCTGTGCCGTGTCTGCCAGGGCGGTGCTGGGGGCTCAGGCCCCGAGTGTGCTTGTGCTTCGGCTGGTGTCCCGGAGCTGCTCGGAGCTGCTCCTCGCCGCTGCAGAGCCGGGCCTGAGGAGCCCTGCTTAGCTCAGTGTCTAGGCAACAAAACAAACAGAGAGCAAAGCCCTCTGCAAATCCAAAGCGTGCCAGAACTCTGCTCCCCTTCAGCTCTGCTGCTAAAATGTTKCTTGAGCAAGCGTGTTGCTCAATACTTGAAAGGCACTTTACGAACAGACTGGAGAAAGCTCCGAAGATCCATCGCCTCGCTCACCCGGGACTCTGGGCAGCACTGATGGGGCGGAGGAGCTGGGCGGCTGAGGCCGCGCGTGAGCTGGCGCGGGCTGGGCCGCGGCGGCCCCATGCCCTGCCGGGGCAGCGGGAAGGCAGGTGGCTCCGCAGAGCAGYGCCAGGCTGGGCAGAGGCCCCCTCCAGCCCCACGCTCCCGTGCCCAGCACGGAGAGGGGCAGGGAGGCGGCTGCCCCATGGGTGCCCCACGGCTGGCAGCTGCCCCACCTGCTCACAGCCGGGGACTATCTGGCCCGGTTGGCAGCTGCAGCCACGTCCCCGTGCTCAGCTGATTCGGGTTTTACCTTCTGACATCCTAAACATGCAGGGGTGGAAGCGGGTTGACAGCCCGGTTTAAAAGCCACCTCCCTTCCRAAATCCCCGCTCAGTCAAGTTCTGCCCCCTTTTGGTACAACTTACAATGTACTGAAAGGAGCTGGAGCAAGTTGATGCTCCAAACCAAGGGCAAAGAGACCTGCAGCTCCACCGTGTTATCACAACCTTATTTAGCTGCTGTGTCCTTAGCAAGCGTGGAATTTACAACCCAGCAGCCAGGAATGGGGAGAGAGGACAGCCTGGAGAGGGGCTCACRGTGGCAACGCAGCCAGGGCTGGCCCAACCCTGCTACCTCCCGCCCRCCCAAAAAACCTCAGAGCGGCGGCGGCCCTTAGGACAGGAGGATTTTCACAGCCTGACAGAATTACATATTCAGTCCTCAGCACTGCCTTGAACTTGCTCTTCTGAATCAGAAACAGCACACTGCAGTCATTAATGCAGAAATAGAGCACAGCAGGGTTTATTTATTTATTTATTTATTTTTACAAATTGCAGTAAGTCTTTAACGCTGAACTTTGCTTCCAGCAACTTGGAATGTGCAGTTTAGATTCATGCCGGCTGTTTGCTCTTTCATGGCCTATTCCGCAAGGAGCCGGGGACGGGGCGCACACAGAGGCGCTGTGCGGGACCTAGGGCAGCACGGGCAGCATTCCCTCCCCGCCACCTTCCCTGGCGCTGCTCACCAGGCAGCAGCGGAAGCAGCAAAAGCCATTCCCATGAACACTCGATTTCAACCGACTGGAGCAATGAYGAGCTTATGCTGCAGCCCTCAGGGAGACCTTTCTTCTCCTCTGGCCTCCTCCTGCCTTCCAGCGTGTCAAAACATTCCGCTGGACTCATTAGGTAGTTATTTCCCTCACTCGCCCTCAGGCACATGCCCTGCAGGGATTTCTTGTCCAAGCGGGGCTTTTTCTCTCTCCTCTGTCTCCTCCTCTCCYCCATCTCCTGAAAAACACACCCCAMACCTGCTCCTCCCTGAGGGCTGGGGAGCCTGTCAGGTAGCACCTGAACAGCAGGATGCCCCTGTGCACAGTGGACACACACAAGTGGGCTGCTTTAAGCTGCCCTGACACCTTCACCTCTAGCTACTGGTTTGGGTAGTTATGAATAAAAATCACACCACCTAAAGTCAAGTTATGTGCAAGTCTTGTTTGCAAGTGAATTCTGTACCAAGAAATCAGCAATCAGCCTTCAGAAAAGTACTGATTTTATTGACTCAAACTGTATTTACACAACACATTTGTATGTTCAATATTTTACAGAACTCTGTAAAAAAACTGACTACTAAAACTGCAGGAGCCAAATTCAGTTTCATACTTAATTTAAGACACTGAACCATGACTTTAAGAWATTTAAGGGGGTATCCAATTTCACTATCATGTTTGATGGCAGTTCTTTGTAAACAGACTTTTAAAAACCAAAATGAGGGGGCAGGGTAGAGCTGGTATTTCCGCAAAGCTAGTACTTTTTCACTTAGACCAGACTTTTGGCTAAGCATTCACCAATGCACTTTGTATGATTTTTTCCCYCTCTTTAGAACATGTCACATACAGTTTTGTTTTAGATCAATAATCACAGAACTTTAATTTTTATYAGATTACTTATTAAAAAGAGAGGCCAGCGCCACTACTTTTGTGCACGAAATCYGAGCTATTTCCAAGTTTGAGAGGTTCAGTTCTGGCATTGCACTGCAGCTCAAACCCACTGTGTGCCTTCAGCTGGCAAACCAAAGACGATCCTCCTTTACCAGGGAGCTGATGAGCTCACACACCAACTGGGAGCAGAACAGCCTCGTCTCATCACAAGGTATCACTCTCCCACCCATCCCYAATACAGTTTGGTTGAATAAATATCTTTTTCGTTGTGGAGGAACAAGCGAGGCGAGTTCCAGACTGCGAGTTACCACGACCACACGCTCTGTGCTAAAAGGGCACCCCTCTGATCTGCCTGGCGACTTGCTCGTCTATCGTCTCCTCCTTCTCTTTCTCACGATCTTTGTTCCAGTCTTTAAGGCCCTCTGGCAGGGAGGTATCTTCCTCCAGGCTTCCCGTACCCTCGACGAATTCTTCGTACGTCGACTTTTCTGCAAAGGGCCTCGGGCCGAGCAGGTCCAGCATGTCACTCTTGTCGAGCACTTCCTTCTCCAGCAGCCGCAGAGCGACCTGAAAGAGCAGCAAGTTACAGCACACGGAACACATCAGCTTGGCTCTTTCCTAGAAAGAGGTCAGGCAGCTCAGGACAGGGAAGTTTTTCATGGAAGAAACAGGTTGCTCAGAACTCCCGCAAGCGATGTTTCCCCCCTGTGCAAAAGCACCGTTTTTAAAGTCCTGCTTATAACCTTTGCCAGAGCATCCTCCCGCTGGGCCACGGTTGCTACATTACACGTGTGCATCCACGTCGGGGTGCCTGCCTTGCGGCACAGCGASCAGCTCTCAACAAGCTCCCTTGCCCACCTCACAGGCAACGTCTTGCTCCGCTTCCCCAGCTGCACTTCGGGGGCCCCCAACCCCGGCGCTCACCTTCTCCACCTGCTCCTTCTTGTCACGCAGCAGAGCGAGCGTCCGGTCGTAGGCGGCGTTAATGAGGGCGCGCACCTCCTCGTCGATGAGCCGCGCCGTGGCCTCGCTGTAGGGCTTCTCCAGCACCATGTCGCCTTGGCGGGGCAGATCAAAGGAGAGCTGCCCCACTTTTTCATTCATACCAAACTGAACTATCTGTGGGGAAGCACAGAGAATGACTGTAAAGATTTTAGGGTTTACTGATGCAGGTTTGGTAACCAGAACTGRAAGGAAGCATGATTTCTGTAAAACCCATCCTTCCTGAAAAACTACAGTCTACCTAAGCAGAAATAAAGCTGGAGTTCCTTCAGTTGGTTTTCAGTTACTATTTTTTAATAATTAGGATTGAAGTACTCAAGTACCACCATTTAAAAGTGGTTATTCTTGCGATGTATGCAATGCTTTATTTAAATACCAAAATATGAAGAAACACATAAGCCTTCATTAAGCAGTACAACTTGCCAGAAATATGTAAGTTAATCTAATTCAAAAGATTGCAGAAGCTGCATTTTATCACAGCAGAGGCAGAAACAAACCCACACTATTTAGAACTCATTTACATGTGTCCTCCATGGCCACTGCCCTTCTAAGGATGACTAAAATGGCACTTGGCCCGGATGGAAACAGGCAGGACGAAACAGTGTCCAGAAGGGCCATCTCCCTAGAGCCAAGAACCTTAAGCTGCATCATAATGAAGAGAAACTCTTTCTTAAACCCCAACTCTCACTCGAAACAATGTTTTTACTATGGAGGRAAATTGTCTGCTAAACATTTTTATTTAAAATTGAACAAGAATGACTAAGGGCAGAAAAATCATCAGTAAAATTTCATTACACATTTAGCTTTCAGAGAGGTAGCCACAAGAAGTGTATTGGAGGTCATGAGGCAGGTATGGTACATGTGTGCGGGGAGTTGGAGTTGCATAGGAGAAATGTATTTTATAGCTATATTGGTATAAGAAATGAAATGAATGGTTAGTTACACATCGAGGAGTCACTTTATTGATTTCAGATTACTCATCTGTACTAGCTGATACTGGCTAGTGTCTTAATCGCATCAGCACTCAGCTGTCAGCAAATTGCTTAAGAACAAGGTTTTCTGGCTTTAATGTGAATCCAAAGCAGCTCTTGACACTGGGCAAGAGCAAAAGAAGAATCACAGAACCAAACCTGCGCCCCACATAAAATTTTTAGGGTACACAGTTCACAGCATCACAGACTGGTTGAGGTTGGAAGGGACCTCCAGAGATCATCTAGTCCAACCCYCTGCTCCAGCAGGGACACCCAGAGCACGGGGCCACAGATCTGAATGCAACTGCAGTACACGTGTTCCTGCAGGGGTGTAAGAGAACAACCAAAGCCCAATGCATTCGGTGATTTCTGTTACACAACTGTGTGATAGAAATACACGAGTCATCAACATCTCTGTGCTACAGCAGCACGTTTAGTCATGTCACCGTTTACTAAAGTGGGCCCACATGATTCAACCACTTCAAAATCCTTTGGAACTTCAGTGCCAGCCAAGGAGACAAGCACGCACCTGAGCGTACGCACTCTGCGTCACCTTCTTCAAGTCGTCCTGGGCTCCAGTGGTAATTTTCCCAAAGAAGATCTGCTCGGACACGCGTCCTCCCAGAGTCATGCACATTCTGTCGAGCAGCTGCTCTTTGGTGTAAAGATACTGCTCCTTGGGTAAATACTGAGCGTAACCCAGGCCTTTGCCACGGGGGATAATAGACACCTGCAGTCAAAATTAACAGAAGGTGAACGTTTACCCTGAAGCGTTCTTTGGCTACYAGCTTTTAAACACCACAATCCACACCAGGGCAATCCTTGAACTAGACATGATTTCTATTTACAGCTTTGGCTTTGCTGTGACTTACCCCTAAAAGCCCTAGCTAGCTTGAAATTGGCTCCAAACTCCTTTAAACCCAGTGTGTAATCTGAAAAGGCTTCTAGATTCCCAAGAACGGATTCAAAATGTCCTGCCATCCCTTGGCATGGAAAAGGTGTTCCTGTGGTCTTGCTACTAGAATACATTGCTCCTTGCCTTCCAGGTACTCTAGAGTTTAAAGGATTCTGTAACAGACATAACATTACTGCACCTCTGGTGCTCTGAATCACAGGACAGACAGAAATCTCCACGTTAGCAACCGTCCTCCTTCCAACAATAAATTGTTCAAGTGTAAGTTTTGTCTTTTAAASCAGACACGATGAAGAACACTTAACTAAGGTTAACTGACAGTTAAAGCAAACGTAGAAGACAGGGGAATTTTGGACCTACAATTTGTCAGGCTTTTCATTCAAGTTTCAAATTAACATTTTAGTCTGTAGATGAACACATTTTTACAGTGATATTCCTGAAGATACATTGAGCTGCACAACCTTTCAAACCATTTTTTAAACCTTAGGTGGGTACCATTGAAAGCCTAGCAGAAACAGCAGCTACCAAGGCAGGCAGAGCCATGAGAAGCCTTGGTGCCCTTGACCTTCCAGCTCTTTGGCACTCTGAGCCCCATCACGTTGGCGGCAGCCAGGTGCCAGCAAAGCTATGGGCGGTGCACCGGCTGTACACGAGCAGTGCCCACTGCTCTGCATGCTCTCTTTTGTGGATGGCTCAATTTAATAATCTCCTCAAATTAAGTAAAAATACAAAGCAACAACAGAAGAAAACGCTACCTACACTTTCCAGAGATTCCTTGTTCCAGTTAATTTCTCCTCACCTTTAGGAGTGGGTCGGCGTGTTCCAAAAACCACCCTGCTACTGCGTGCCCTGCCTCATGGTACGCCACGGTCTTCTTCTCCTCTGGCTGCAGTACCTGAGTTTTCTTTTCCAAACCTTTAAGGAAAAGGATTCAGTTAATAGTTTCAGACAAGCCTGTGTCCATTGAGATCTCATGCAAAGAGAGAGCTAGCAAGCCCAAGCCACACCAAAGGTACCCAAAAAGCTACCCTTAACTAGATTATATCAAAGCAAAAACCAAATGAACTGAAGGAAGCTGAAGAGCGACTTACTCGATGAACCTACCTCCAATAACTCTTTCAATGGCTTGCTCAAAATGCTTTTGGTTGATAGCATCCGAGAGATGCCTTGCAGCAATTAAAGCAGCTTCGTTACAAACATTAGCAATATCAGCACCTAAAGGCAGGCAGCAGAGAGGTGCTTATTTGTCACAATTTCATCTCAAGGTCTAGCACTGAGAAAATCTAGTATTCGATTTCTACAGATTCTCATAGAGTCTAAAGATTAAAAGTAATGCTCTCTGAAAAAAAATATACTATATAATTYGTTAATGTATATTTTAATACTTTTTTTATGGTTATAGATTTTTCTCAGGTAGTCAGTTAAACTTTATTACCAGTGAGTACTTGTTTGATAAAGCATATTCTAACTTCTGCATTTTTTTCTGCAGACTGTGCTTAGACTAGGACAGAGTTGGCAGGCCAGGTTTCCTGCTTATGGATGCAGTACAGCTCAGGCCTTGTTGGGAAAGGAYACCCTCCAGAAACATAAGTACATTATTCACTTCAAGCCATCCACAGTATTTGCAGTGCTGCTACAGAGACAACTTAGTTCAAATGGGAAAAAAAAGCCCCGCTGCAGTTGTTAGAGCTGCAGACTCTCAGGTTGTTACAGAAAGATGTTTTTTGTAACCCACAAGAAGTCTGAGGGGTTCAACTATCAGTCGATATGGATTTTAAATGGATTAAATTCCAAACCAGCACTGAAAGTTTTCATATTCATTCCTAATTAAATACAAAGTTATAAGTACATCTTCTAGGAAAAAGCTTCACATCCAGAAACAGAAATCCTCCCACAGAATGCACACACAGACCATAGAGAAATAAAGCCAGGCTTCAGTATCAGTGTGTGAAGGCATTCCTGGAATGCTTCTGCTACAGATTTGCTTGGTACGTCCCACACATTGATATGGACAAGCATAGGACCTTCTTTACCTCAAAACAGGTAAAAAGAATTTCACAGTGCATCAGTAAATAAAATATAAATATTTATAAAGACAGCCAGTCAAGAGACTGGATGCAAGAAATAATATAATTCAATACCAACAGCCAACATAGTTAATGCAGAGGAACAGTGGCATAAAATCATCACTTACCAGAAAATCCGGGCGTCAGTGAAGCAAGTTTTCTTGCTAGGCTGTCTTTGTTTAAGACTGCATCTAATTTCAGAGGTCTAAGGTGGACTTTAAAAATAGATGCTCTTCCTTTTATATCTGGGGGTCCTTTAAGATGAAAAGTATTTTGCACATGTTTTAATTGAGTGCATGTAAGAAATCACACATGTAAAAAGCTGCAATGATTTCTACATATGGAGAAGTAGATAGGGATGCAGATAAACTTACCAATGTAAATCTGTCTATCAAAGCGTCCTGGCCTCATCAGAGCAGGATCTAAAATATCAGGCCTATTAGTCCCTGCCAATATGACTACATTTGTGGTTGTGTTAAATCCTGTTAGAGAAACACAGTAACAGTCTGTGAACGTGATTTCCCAGGAAATCAAACAAAAGCAAACGAACAAAAAGCAAAGCAGAAATAGGAAGACTGCTTACCACACAGGTGACACTTCAAACAAGCAATCCCAAAGGTGGACCTATTTCTATTTATTAGAGCACTGCCCGGCTTCCATAACAAGCAAAAAGGGCCTGGGGGGACTCTGCTTTATGAAGCACTGCATGAATCCTAGTTTATCTCCAGAAAAATGCAGCTATAAGATTAAGTGCTCTGGGAACTGCAAGATGAGTGTGGCTAGCAGGGTGGTGTCCTTTTCTGCTGGTCTGTACGAGCATCTGCTCTCACAGAGATCTTCATTCCTACTCAACTTGGACACAGAATCAGAAGGTGCAGAAAGATGCTATCTTTTTCCTGAACAAAGCCAGACTAAAGCAAACTGAGTCACCTTTCTTCATTTGTAGGAAGCAAAACCAGACTCATTTTCATTTACATCAGAACCCAAGTCCCTATTAACAGGTCTGAACAAGTATATTAGCTGTGTTCCTCCCTCCATTGCCACCCACTTCCCCCTCACATCTAAAATGACAGCTGCATTAAGGTAGCAATCAGTGCAGTCGACACTTTAGTTTATGAGAAGATGACCAAATCYCTACTATTATAATGCAGAAAATTAAATAGAAAATTATATGGAAATTAAATACTTACCATCCATTTCCACGAGCAGCTGATTGAGAGTGTTTTCCTGCTCACTTTGCCCTCCAAAGTTGCCCCTTCCTCTCTTCCTCCCCACGGCATCGATCTCATCGATGAAGAGGATGCAAGGGGCATTTTTCCGAGCAAGCGAGAACAGATCCCGGACCTTGACAAAGGAACAGAACGGGCATGAGCTTACAGGGTCACTGCCCAGCGGGTGTCTGCGGGGAAAGCAACACCAGCAACAGTATCACTGCAGCCCCTGGTTTTGGTGCAGGCGTTTGGAAGTCTCCTGGCAGCTCCGCAGACAATGAGAGTTGCCCCTSTAGCTGCTGCACAGTTAAAATGCACTAAGGTGGATGCCTCGTGGCCAGCACCACGTTGTCTGGGCTGCTCTCTTAGCAGTTCTTTAGCACACGGCACCGCCAGCAAGGCTGCAGTGCGGCCACACAGCAGCTCTCCTCAAGCAAATRAGGGACTTCAGGCGTGTCCTGCAGCTAGAGCAGTGACACAGCTCCCACAGCAGATGTGTTATGGCTTATAAAGCATAATGATAAGCACTTATTTAACAATATGCTACTACAGTGACTCTTGGCCACCCTCTCTCCCCTTTATACAGGCTAGAAAATCTGAACTCACCTCTAAGGATCTATTCTGCAACTAACTTAACTTCCCTTGGGAACTTTGGGGAAAAGCAAAGCGACCTAAAAGATCAGCAAACACCAGGACAAGGTTTGGGACTTTCAAGCTTCAGGAAGCGAAGGTACCACGCGCCAAACCCCGCTGCACGGGCGGCAGCGCGGCCACGGGCGGCACCCAGCGCTGGCCACGCGCGCGGAGCGACCCTGGGAGGGCGCCCAGCTCAGCGCCCAGCTCAGCAAGCAGCCCGGCCGCGAGCCCGAGTCAGCCAGCGGCAGGGAGCGGGAGAGGAGAATCAGGGAAGAACTTTGACTTGGGTGGGAAGGTGGCACAGCTCGGCACTCTGTTCTGCGTGTGCTGCAGCCACAGTTAGAGCAGCCTCCTCCAAAGACAGGCAGGACACGCCGGGCGTGAGGGATGCCCGTTGGGGCAGCAGCTTCCCTGCAGAAAGGAAGTCAGTCTGCTGCGTGAACAGCTGAACAAGAGACAGAGCAGCACTGCAAATAACGTGGATAGCTGGAATAAGAGACAACAAATAAAGTCTAAGGGGGCCACAATAAACCAGGAGAAAGTGCCAGGAGCTCAGCCGGAGCTCTCACCTTTTGCTCTGTAAGAGAGAGTCGAACACACCCAGCTATTTTCCCCAAGCAACAGAACTAAAAGCTAACACAATGTGTGGGCATAAGGCACATGAACCAAGGCCATATGAATGGTTTTAGTTCTAGCTTATCCTCACTTAGGAGCAACTGATTTAGTATTATTAATAACCTAAATTTAYAGGAAGTGAAACAGAAACAAAGCCGCCCCCTCCCTACCCCCATACTCGTTAAATTCTCCAGACATGAGAAGTGCCCCGCCAGGACGCTGAACGCCCGAGCCCAAGCGCAGCTGCTGTAGCAGATGTCACTGGGCACTACAGGGTGACTGTCACCTGCACAGGTGAGCAGGGGAGGCTGCCCTTCGAGCACATGCTGGCAGCCAGTAACCAACAGCACCTCTGGGTGCCACTGCGGGACACCCAGGGCTTTCCAGAGGATACAAAACTGTTTGTTTTCTTGCCCTTCCTCACTAAAACCCTTTCTACATCACACACCCCTTGCTTCAAGTCCCATCCGCCTTTCCTATCTAATCACACTCTCTATAGGCCTAGCTTTCAGAGTCCCTTTTTAGTCAGCACCCATGTTTTCTTCTCCGTTATCAGCTTCTCCAGCCATCTCCCTGCTCTCAGGCCRTGCCCTCTCCCCTCTGTTGCAGCTCTTTTTGCCAAAGTCTTTACACGGTTTCAGGCTCCCTGTACTCCCAAGAATACAAGGCTTTACAAGTCTTCACTCCTAACCAGCTCCAGCATTTGCCTTTCTGAACCAGCACTTAGTCCTCTTAATTACAAGCTGTGGGTCTAAGCCTCCTGCTTCACCCACCAAACTACCTGGGTCCAAGTATCTTCTCCCACTCTCTGCTATTCCAGGAGAAAAGTCCTTCAAGAAATCATCAAAAGAGACCTAGGTTACGGAGAGGAACATGCACACACAGCTGTGAAAACAGTGAGGAGGAAATCTCCAGAAAGGTGATCTGCCAGCTTCAAAGAAGCTTGAATATACACAAAAAAAGGGTAGATTTTCAAAGCTTCTAAAGCTTAGTCTAAAAAAAATGGACAACTTTTTACTGAGCAAAAGCAGCACACACTCCCCGTCAAGTCTCAAATGCAAACTGGGACTAGAACATTTCCATCTAGCACCATCAGAATTTGTTTTTCAACACTAATAAAGCAGGATATTCTTTCCATAACACTGTTCTCAGAAATGACAAAGCAAATTTGAACTCTTATTCTCAAACCAAAGCCCCTCTCCCCCAAAGWAAGAAAGCCAAGTCAACCTAAAAGTACAGTTTTCAAGGTTTAAGACAAGATGGCTGGAGTTTGGTCAAGTTACAAGATAGTTTTCAAACTTTGTTTGAAATGTAGCTGTATTGAGGAAAAAAATAAAAAAAGGATATAGTAGAACAAAGTCAATTAAATTTGTTTTACAAATTTTTATCATAAGAACACGTACTGTGAACACTGCTGGCTTACAAAGCTAATGATGGTAAATAGCAATTCTCTTAAAGGGATAACAAATTTAAGTGGTAGTTTTCAGGTTTGCAAATAGCCATCTCTTTTCCTCTGCTTATGTCATGCTATCTCCATCAGTGACCCTTGGACTCTTATTTCAACCAGAGCCATACTTGTACGCCCCAGACAACTATTTCTATTTAAGAGCCTGACCTTACAAGGAGAGCAAAGGTCTTTGAAGCAATACAACAGACTGCAAGCAGGAGGAGGCATTCCCAGGGAAAGAGTCTATTTGACTGCGTATTTCTATGTGTTACTTCAGAGCAAATCTAGGAGAGTTCTGTTTTGTTACGTTCCTGCACACAGGTGAAGGYCCACACAGCCCAAAGCCAGATACTGAACTCCTCCTTTTGGCTCCTTTTCCAAAAAAGTGCATCTCTGACTATTTAGGCAGCTCTYTGGCATCATGTGCTGCATAACGTGCATAGATGACAGAACTTCAGCTGTAACCAAACTTCTGCCTACCAGCTTTGGCAACGRCCTTTCAGCCACCAGCACTGGAGTAACAGAGCAAGGCCAAAACTTACTCGAGCTGGACCCACACCAACAAACATCTCCAGGAACTCCGAGCCGTTGACTGTGATGAACGGTACGTTGGCCTCTCCCGCCGTGGCTTTAGCCAGGAGTGTCTTCCCAGTGCCAGGAGGACCTGTCAGAATGGCCCCCTGCAAGAAAACCAGGTACATTTCCTCATGAAAACATACCTGTGAACAACCTCAATTAATGATCTTGTATGGGCTATGATATTAGGTCCAGCAGGTTTTCTCTCACTACAGTCACAGAACTGTGTAAAGAAACAAAGCAAGGGAATGGAAACTGAAATTTGAGCTCTCATTTAAACTAGTTTGAGRAGAAGAAAGAGGCACCACACGGCCATAGTTGCTTGGATTTATGGAAAGAGGGACTTCAAACTACTTTGATCAAACACACAAAAACAGCTAAGCAGACAGCTCCTGCTGCAGCACAGGTGACAGACAACTAACAGCTATATGCAACACAACACAGCACATATATACCATATTCTCAATATTCCATATTGAGAAGAGGCACACACAAACCTACAGCACCAAGGTATCTACTGCTGGTCCTTCCTGCCTATTCAATTTTTTTCCCCTCATGGTTCCAAAGAGAACAAAACAAAAAAAAAAAAAAAAGCAGAGAAGCTGTAAATTGCAACCCGTAACATTTTCACCCCCCAGAATACTCAGAAACACTACCATGGGCATCAAGTCCTCGTCTGGTGACTCCCTGCTCCCTTACCTTGGGAATTTTTGCTCCCAGATCCTCGTATTGCTTGGGATTTTTCAGGAAGTTTACAAACTCCATTATCTCTAGCTTGGCCTCCTCACAGCCAGCTACGTCTTTGAATTTCACATCTATCTCATCCTTAAGAACTTTAGCTGTGGTTTCACCCACACTGAAGAGGCCTCCCATGCCCCGTCCTGCTCGACCTAAGCCGGCAGGGCCTCTTCTCAACGTGTACAGCAGAGAGCCAATGATCAGGATCGTAGGCAGCAAACTTAGGAGAAAGGATCTGAGGAAAAGAACAAAAACAAAGGAGGAAAAACAATCCCATTATTCTCCCTCCCAAAATCTAAACAAATATCAAGAATAAAATCTAGAATAATTACATTATTCTTATACTGATGATATGAGCTACTAGATCAAGAGTTAGCAGTCCTCATGAGACTAACATTATTTCACAGACATATATTACTCAAAATTAATTACTGCATATGATAATGTGTGCCAAGTGTTGGCTTCACCATAAGCAACCCTGAATAAATTCAGGACCAACAGGACCTGCAGATTTACAATATTTTTTGCAAGATATTTGCTTTGGAAAATAGCAGAAAAAAAAATGGAAACAAGTCTTAACTACATAAGTCAAACTGAAAAGCCTGCTATAAATATAATTAAAAGAAAAGTTAGAATTCCATTTCCTTTGCACTCTACCCACCCCYAATCCTACGAAATGTAAATCAACATCCTGCCAAGGTAACACTTCCTTATATCTGATGTTTAAGGAGTAACAGTTTTGGATTTTGTTTTCTGTTGAAACGAAGCAAAACACAAGCAACAGTGGTGACTGGGGAGGCAGAGTGTTTTACCTAGGAATTCTCTAATAAGCATCTACTAGTCACTTCCTATGCACAAAACTAGTCATGCAAATGGCTATACTGTCCAAACAAGTTATACTAAGTAACAAGCCTGGAATACAATACACTTTCAAGCAGAAATTTCTCTCATAAAACAATACCCATCATTCTTCCTCTAGTTCTGGATCTCTTTTTAACTTTCTTCTTCTTTCAATGTCTATATTTCCTTTCCTCAAGGGTATGGTTATCATTTTCCTTTCTGTTCTCCTTTCCATTGCTCGTCATTCTTGACTGCTCTCCAGCTTTCCAGTATAGCTCTCTACACACACAGAAAACTTAATATTGACACACACCTCATTAGCACAGTGCTTTTTTGTTAAAATCTTCAAGAAACAGCCCAGTGGAAGTTGCACCAACAGTCACCGAAACAAAATGCAGAGAAGCAGCACTATCACAAGGGAATAAGGGATTTCCAGAGCGAAGAGGGTAAGTGTGACTCTCACTGCATCACAGCGTTCAGTGGATCCCGAAGTGGCAGCGAGGAGCAGTATCGGGATCTCCTAGCTGCTGCTCTCCTGTTCTGCCTTTCCCACAGCATTACAGGGGCAAAGCTAGAAAACCTACAAAGAAATTCTGCAGAGAAAAGACACCAAGGAGAAGGCTAGAGACCGAGGCCAGGGAAGAGGAATTTAATGAGTAAAAGGGATTTGGGAGAGGCTGAGGTGGACACAGGAGCTGGAATACTCTTCCCAGGCTACGCTGAGGAGCGTGAGGCTGACGGGCATCCTCTATGCAGAGGCACAGCTTTTGCTCGACTGCTCTTTCTTTCCATGTACTTCTTTAGGTRGGGACTTGACCAGTTAGGTAATACACTGACCTTGACAACATGCCTCTTTGGACAGAAACACAGAAATGAGGCAGAGAGAGTCTGCAGAAGAACAGGGGACACAAATCTTGTATCTTAGGTCCCAGGATGCTCTAGAGCTAAGGGTATCATTTCTCCTGCTGCCACAAACAGGCAGCAACCTGGTAAAATGATTTAGAAAAGTAAATCAGACTTCTCCCTCCTGCTCCAAAATCCAAATAAACACAATGTCAAGAATGAAAATAGAGACACAGCAGCCAAGCACCTACTGCTAGTGATATGAGCTACTAGATCCATGACTGGATTTCTTGAGAGACTACAGCTATTTCAAAGGCACTAGCAGGAGTCTTTTTCAATGCRTTGACTTGTATCAAAACAAAAATCATTTCATAGGATACAAGATTAAATTTGGCCTCTAAGCCATTCAGAAAACTATGCCAGAGAAGTTCTGCAGTCTCTGCTCTGTACAGAAGATCAGTACAAAGAATGCCAACTGGTATCAGGACCATTATTTCCTACTTGGGTAGCAAAATTGCCATAAAAATAGGAGTTATCACTATTTTTCTTAACTAATTCACAGATTAAAAGCATGAYGCATCTTCTAGCTCCCAATAACAGGCAGAACAGCACAATTTATTTAATCACCAATATCTTGCCATTTGCCAGACCAGGAAACCAGACCTCTGCTGAGTTTGTGGGCAGGAAGTGGTACCTGCCAGCTCTCAGTCAACAGGCCATAGCTCTGAATTATAGCCATTCAAACTCTATACACAGAGCTCCTGAGCCTGACTGCTCTGCCATGTTGGCTCCTGCTCAGAAGTCATTTAGRGGAAGGACCAATTGTGCATGTAAGTATATATGTAATAAAAAGCTATATTTAAAGAAGAGGATTAAAAAAAAAAAACCAGAAATAGAGTACTGAAGTGGTGCTGTTRCAATTAACATTCAAGGATAAAACCCAAAACGTTCAGTATTCTGCTAACAGTGCCACCTAGYGTAATACAACACCACAGGTTTATGTCTCACAGCTCCAGTCTTCCTAGCGGAAGACCATTTCTCATCCAGACTCCTGTTTTTAAACAGTTTCTTACCCATCACTTTCTGTTGAGTAGACTACAGGTAATCTGTTCTCCACTTCTATGCCCAGATCTTGCTGCACAGTTTCAAGATTCCGTTCAAAAGTATCCACGCTGCCGATGTTAAACCAGACRTACTGCTGAAAAAAAGCCAAGATCACTATAAAGTGCCTCATTTTGCTTCAGCTTTATTACAGGCTAATTTGTAACACATATGCAAGCAATTCTCAGAATAGATTCAGACAAAAAAAGAAAGTAGAATTTACATCATTTAGAGACTTAAGATACCTCGTTAGATACATGTAAAAAATGTAAGACCTATTGTCCGAAATACACTGGTTGTCTGTCATGGTTTCTGTAGAAATCATAGGCCTGACGGTTTTTGTGCACTTCAAAATAGATTGAAACCCTRACATTTTCTCCAGAGACAAGTGGAAGGAGGGTAGGTGAGCAGATATTTAGAAGGGAGCTAGCAGTGACGGTAACAGAGCAATAAATCAGCAAACAGCATTCATGGCTGTTTCACCTGAAGGTCTCAACCCTTCAGGTAAAGGCAACTGTAACTCCTGAAGACTACATTCCCTTTACAGAGACAGCTACCTTGCCAAAGGACAACATGCACTTATATCATGTATTTCCAAATCAGGAAAAAAAAACGAATGGAAACACTGCTTTGAAACAGAGCTGACAGTGGGGCTTTTTTCTAGAGCATTTTCCTCTTTGCACAGTTACCTTCCTTGACTTGTCCCCATTTATCCTTGTAAGAGAGAAGGGGAAAAAAAATAAAGTGGTTCTAAATATTAGCTTATTGAGAAACCAAAGCAGCTGAGGGTATGTGGGCTAAAGAGTGGRTATATAAGCAAGTCTGAAGAGCAAATCTCACTGAAACCCACTGGTGAAGTAACTACTGCAAATTTCACTTTACCCTGGAGGGACTTGCAGACCTTGTTTCAGCAAGTCAGTAACGAAGGGAAAAAGGAAACAACAGCAACAAAAACGTCCAGGAAGCAGCAACTGGATAAAGTTTTTCCAAAATGTGGCACTTGGTATACAAGCACTCAGAAGATTAGCTACCTGTATATTAAAGAGGACTGAAATGGCCAGAGACGACATCCAAAATAGTTTTCACATTTATGTACTTTTTAATTTCTTTTCTAAGTAAGAAAACTTACTTGCCTCTGAGTAGTATTCTTTGGAGAACTTTAACCTGTATCAGTCCTGTTTCTCACTGTGTTACTGGGAAAGAGATTTCTCTGAAACACACACTAACTTCTCCCGCCAAGAAACTGGGCACTTAGCTTAGTTTTAAGGGCAATAAAATCAAATGGAAATAAAGTTATTTGAAAACTAAAAAGCATCCTAGCCAGTTATATTTTTCCCCTTACATTTGTTGAATTTTTTTAATCAGGTAGAAAAGTGTAGTTACACAGACTGGAAGAGGACGGGTTTATGAACGTCCTGTATTTTCTTTAAGACCATGGCACTGGAAAGGAACTGGTGGCTACAACTGTACATTGATTTTGTAATATGCCATTGTTTTTGGATATCTGCAGGACAAAACATGACCAACRCAGTAAAACGACAAACATCCTATGCTAGGTACCATGTCAAAATACTAAAAATATTTCAGATTAAAAGGCTATTAACACTCCTTGACCAAGTTTTCTGCATTAACGTTCAAATAAAGAATTGTCTTTCACATTTTTAATGCCTCATGTATTAAAAGTAAACGTTACCCAGTCGTGAGGAGATTTTCCTGGAACAAAGATCACTCGAACAAAGCGCTTGTTTACCACTTCAAGCCTGTCCACCTGTGGGAAGAAAAGGAAGCTGTGATGTGCTCAAGCACAGAGCTCTCCCATCACAGCCAGCTTATCTGGGTATCCCCCATGTGAGTCTGTTCTTCTCCTTTCCAGAGAGAAGAGGAGAAAAAAAAAAAAAAGAAAAAAAAAAAATCACATTGAAGGTCAGGACGGCTCCACAAGCTACAAGCTCGCCAGCAGGCAAAGTATCAACATTTACTCTTCATAAAAACACAGATTAGAGCGTTCCATCTCTCTAATCTAAATTGTTTCAGATACATGTAAGAACAAGTTTCRAAGTAATTTCTACTACAATTCATTTCCACGAGTTCCAAAAAGCAGGAATCAGGTATGTGATCAGACATTACAAGAAAGAGATGACTTCATATTTTTGGAGCCATTTTCACTCCCAGAGCAAAATCAAAACAGAATCACACACCACCTACCCTGTCCCCCACCTCCAAGAGATCAAGTCACAGGTAGAGTGAAATAGTTGAACAAGAACATAGTTATTTCAATGGTCAAACACCAAAAGCAACAGGCCACATGACCTCAAACATTTGTAGGAGCTTCCGAAATAAAAACTCAGAAATAGGGAAAACTTCATTTTACTTTTATAATTGTTATTCTTATTAAAAGAAAGACTTTCCTGTACTATCACATAAAACACRGTAAAATCAATTAGATGAAAAAATGGTTATGGAAACAAACACCATGTTAAGTAAAATCAAGAGCTCAATTGCAAGTTTAAGATGCATAATGGCCAWTTTTTTTTTGAACAGGAAAGAGGCTTCAAATGGGTAGCTTCTTAAATTTGACAGCATTTCTTCAGAAGCCATGTAAAGCTTGCCAAAGCCCGTGAATACAAAGCAGGACAGATTACTTCCACCTCTTCTTCCTTTTTCCACATACTAACCAATTTTGGTATCCCTAAAGAACTTACAACTAGCAATGGCCTACAAGTTGGGCTCAGAATGCCCCCAGGCTAGTAAGAGCTCCCTGGGCTCACAATATAWGTTCCATTTCAGTTCCAGTAGAATGGAAGCAAAACACGAGTTAAGAAGCTGCTTTAGATCTCATCTGGCTTCAAGTAGTCACCTCAGATCAGTTCTGCAGTGGGCATAAGCCTAGYAGGGCTGATGGCTTTGTCACCTTAACTGACCACCACTAGGGCAAGTCACAGTTTTTGACAGCTACATATTCCACTTATCTCCATATCCAGACTGTATCTTACGGAGGCCCGAGGGACTGTTCCTGTTCCTGGCTTTGTGCAAGAAGCCACTTTCATAATTCTTTTCCGCAACACGGGTTCAGGTTTCATTCACTGTAACAGTCACACAGCTCTTTTTGCTGAGTTAATCTTACTGTTCCAAGGATAACCAGCAAGTGCTCCTGGCCAGACACACGCAGCTGCGAGTGAGCACAGCACTGCAAGAAAAGCGACCCAGTCAGCRGGGGAGAGGCAGACATGGTAGCTCTGCGTAGACCACCAAGATAAGGAAAGGTAGAAAGCAACCTATCCAGCAGCTCATAAAAGCAACGCGAGGGCAGGAAGCATCCAGGACCTTAAAGCAAGAAGCAAGCCCACGTTTTCCAAAGCTAYAGGAGAAGCTAAAGACATGGAGGTAATAGGCAAAGAACTAGTGGCTCCTGAAGTGGGAAGGGCCTGTGCAAGACATTCAGTTCTCTGAACCTGGGAGCATCACTGASCTATCTACTCCAAGTGCAGAGAGCTGCCAAGTTACACAGAAGGACACACATACTGATGATAAAAGTGACTGCAGTTCCAGTAGTGGCTCTATGCAAAGWTAAGATACAAAATAAAAGAGTAAAAACAAATAAAATAGGAAATAAAAGAGTAAAAACCAATAAAGAAAACTTCTACAATAGTTATGCTAATTTACTGACCCAGAATGGACTGTCTCTGTCTCATTCTCCATTTCCACCTTTCCATAAGCATTGCCACTCAAACCCCACGGTGAGCTACTTTAAGGAATGAAAGCACCAAACACACATACGAAAAACAAAAACCAGGCTTAAAAAATGTTTAAGTTAGGTAAATACTGGCATAATTGAGAAGATAGAAAAGAGCAAGAAAAGAGCTGGTGCTACCTTCAGGGCACTGATTTTCATTCTAATTCCTGACTACTCACCATTCCTTTAGAAAGGTAGTTATTGACAAAGTCTTTCCAGGTGATTTCTCTCCCAGGGACCCTGAAGAAGAAGTAGTATACGACCATGGTCCAGAAAAACGAGCTTCCCACAACGTACATGCGGAACTCTTTGACATCCCACGGAATGTCACCCTAGGAAACAAGAGCACCAAAATCACCTCTGTTCAGCATTTTCTTCTCTGCTTTAGAACAATTTCCTCTGCCTATCCGAACTATATGCAAGATCTACAAAAATAAATGAGGAAACAATCACCTAGGAAGGAGGGGGGGAAAAAAACGGACAGCACCAGCTATTATAATCCTCATGCTACAGCTAAGCACAGCATAGAGAAACTGGGAGGGGAAAAAAAAGCATAAAGGACTTATGCATGTATTACATTCTGTGTTTTATGAAGCACTGGAGGTTAAGTAGAATTTTTCAAAATGACATATTGAGACAAAATACGAAGCCTTTAAGGCTTTGCTACAAATAAGGATATTTGAAAGGCAGGACCTTCTGTAACCTGGTCCACCAGTTAGTGTCTTCTTTCTTGCCGCCTTTTTTTCCACCGCTGCCACCTCCTCCACTGCTACTCCCAGAAGGCTGTCGTGCACTAGCCTGATTTGCTTCTAGCAAAAGACAAATAAATAATAAATTACTTTTTAATTACATCTTTTCACAYTTTCTCATTATTTCTACATCTCATGTCAACTTCACACTGATTTTTATTTCATAGTCATTTTCATTTTAAAGAGTTCACCTGAGAAAATAAACTAGCTTATAATGCCACGGTACTTAAGAGATTGCAGTCTCCTGGAGAACTGCATTTTCCTGAAACAGAGGTGGAGTTAATCACCTGGCAGAGGAACCTATAKCCCTGGTTACGAGCAAGTGTTCTGTAACTGTGTAACTGATGATACTTGAACACCAAGMAGCAAAACTGGCCCAAGTAGAGAAGGAAGAATGTTACGGAGACTACAYGAAGCTTGCATTTCTACTGTGCTAATCCAAGATATGTAAAAGATTTCTCTAGCGATGATATTTTACTAGTTTTAAGTAACATCTCCCACCCCAATTCACCCCATGAGTCATGCTATGCTCCTTCTAAAGTTTGCTGCATTGATATGCAAGGTTGGAGCCTTGTTTAACAAGCTAGAGACAAGCACAACATAGTGTCAGCCTCCTAGGGCTGAGGAGTTCACCTCCACCTCTTTTGGTGGAGAGCAGAGCTCTCCACCTCTGCTTGCACAAGCAGCTGGCACAAGGCTCAGGACAGGCAACCCTTGTTCTTGTGGGAGAATTCAACCCAGCAGATGTTTGTTGGAAACACAGTAAGGCAGAGAGGAAAAAGTGTAGGAGGTTTGTGGAGCGTGTGGAAGATAATTTCCTATCAGAGTTGTCAAGTGAGCCTAGCAGAGGAAGAGCCTCTCTGGGGCTGCTCGTTGCCTRTAGAGAAGGACTGGTGGGAGATGTGGTGGCCGGAGACCGTCTTGGGCATAGTGACCAGTTCTTGATAAAGTCAGGAGGTACGTCAGCAAAACAACTCTGTTGGACTTCTGGAGGACAGACTTTGGATTATTTACGACATTGGTTTGAAGACTCCTGTGGAAGATAGTCCTGAAAGAAGTTTCATCTCCATGTGGAAGAACTTGTTTACTCTAAGGGTGACAGAGCCCTGGAACAGGATGCCCAGAGAAGTTGTAGGGTCTCCTTCTCTGGAGGTCTTCAAAACCTGCCTGGATGTGTCCCTGTGCCACATGCTCTGGGTCTCTGCTCTGCTGGAGCAGAGAGTTTGGACTAGATGGTCTCTAGAGGTCCCTTCCAACCTCAGCCATTCTGTGATTCAGCAGCAGTSGCAGCCTCTACTCACTCAGCTCTCAAGGGGGTCAGCGTGGCACATCGTAATGCCATCTGCCAAGGCACATTCAAGAYTTGTTCAAGACTACACGATGGAGCACAACACTAACACACACTCTTTCCAGTACCCACCTAGCATCTTCAGGATTAGTTTGAGTATTGCTGCATGATTTTACATTTGACCAACCAAAGCCAAAAGGAAAGTGCTCTTCCTATTACTACTTTCACATAAGCTCCCAYGCTTGCCATTTCTCCTTTTCTCTGGAAGAGAAGTTGTATAGATTTCTGGTATGACAGAATGGCTGCTACTGACAATTTTTCTTCTCTTGCTCCTCCCTCCTTTCTTTAAGGACAGTAGTGGCAGTCCTAGAGTGACCCCTATCTCCCCTCTCAAGCAACAGGCTACATGGATGGTTCTAGCTATCCAGAAATGGAAATTTCTCATCCACAATGCCAATTCTGTTTACTAACTACATCAGGAAATGGTATTTTAATAAATAGGAAAAGTTGAGAAATATACCCGTAGAATACAATCTAAATATTTGACTAGCACAACGAAAGAAATTATGGACAGTAGTCCAACATGAACATAAAATATAACATAAAATAAAACTAATGTTATAAAACAAATTTGGTGTCTTAATCTGGTACAGCTCTCATGAAGATGGAAAAACAAACAAACAAAACCCTCACAAGCCCACAGGATTTTGCTGAAAATTTAATGAATGCACGTCCTAAGGAAAAAATTAAAACTGCAGGGTTTTTGTACCTTTTGTTTCTGCAGCCGAACCTTTAGTTCCATTTGTTTTCTTCCCATTGGGAAAATATTTCTCAAATCCTATTAAGGAAGAGATAAAAAGCTCATTATTAGTTTATAATTCTATCATTACATTTTAGTCATCGCAGTTGACTTTGTATATCAGCAGAGAAGGTAGCTACATGTAAACTGCAAAAATGGTTTTGCTCTTGCCTTCTGGTTCAAAAGCTATACAAGGCTCCCATAAATAAATCTATCATTCTTTACAAGAATAATCATGACTTATTTAGTTACCTAATATCAAGTTGTCCTTTAAATCAGAGACAAGCTTAGTTCATTGTACTGCATAAAGTGAAGTAAACTGCAGTCACTCATCTTAAGATTAACCTTTGGTTAAATAAAKAAATTACTGCCCACAAAATAATCAGCCTAGACAGTACTTAAATGCACCCCTCAGCACTACGCTTCATTTCAGCAACTGAAGCTGCAGTCACCTTTGGGAGGCTGGCAGAACAGCCTTCTGCAAGCAGCAATTACACTCGCCAAGACAGTGCTTCTGTCAGTCGTGGCGCCAGGGGCAACTTTTTCACGGAGCTGAAAGATAATAAATAAAGGTTATAAACAATGGAAAGCTGCTGCAAATGTCTTTGTAGTATCTGTCTTGTAGCAGTTCAGGACTTTCAGCAGACTCAAAGTCTGTTGTAAAATTCTTCATTCCATTGCATTCCAACAAAAATGGACAASAAAATAATAAAATCATGGAGAAAAAAAAAAGTCAAATGGCTAATTTCCAAAATGAGGAAGTGTTTATTTTATTCATTATTCACTATCAAAGAGAAACATAGTAATTGTTCCCAGGCTTACCCTACAGGATACTTTGTGAAAGAATTGTGAGTTCTCTCAAAGGAAAATAATTAAGAAATTTACTTCTATTTATGAAAGATCTGCTGGAAACTAAGAGAACGAGGTATGACAAACTGTACTCGTGTACAGCTAAGAAACCACATGAAAGCATCACTTCAAATGGAAGACCTAAATCTCTATGCAGGCTAATATCCATTCTAGAAAAAAGAAGTATTACACTTTGATCCAAGACAAGTTGAATATAGCTATCTGCTATTTAAGAGTATCAAAGGAAATATTTTAAATTATTAATATATAAGAAAAATAAATTTTATATTCTAATAGAATGCTTTAAAATAGAGTGAATTACAAGTTCATTACAGAGGAAAAAAAATGCTCYCTTCCAGACAAAAAGGACATTTAAGATTTAAAAATAGAAGTTTATAATAAAAGCTCTTAATACAAGCTCTTTCCACAGTTTTTAGAAAATGTTTTCTAATTAAACTCATCATATTTTTGCATCTATTTTCTTTGCCCCAAGGGAGAGCTCAGTTTCCTTCCATTTCTTTTGATCAGGATCAACCTGTCTGAAGAGCCTGGGCATGACCAGAGCAGCAGGTCCTCAAGTCAGGATGAGTTACAGTCCTGGGAGGGGGACTCACGGCACCTCTGCACACAGCAAATATCCAGCCGTGCATTCAAAGCAGGGTGGCTGCAGGCAGAGCCTATATCCTGGCCCGCTGAACAAGCTTGCAGGATGCCAGGTAGGCTGCTAAGAGCACGCGAGGAATGCTGGCATATTGCGAGTTGAATATTAACTCTCCTGAAGCTTCCTGCCTGGGAGCTTCTCCCACCTTGTTAAAGAAGAAAACACATGAGACTTTCTTGTGAGGGGTGATCTAGTTCCACCTGCTGGAACCAAGAGGAATGCCCCAGACCAGCTTCACTGCTCGCTTGCCCTATAGACTGAAGTACAAATAATGCTTAAGCCATTGCTTAGTGTCATTGTAGGTCTTTGAAACAAGCGGGACACTTAAAATTCAAGAGGATATTCTACTGATCAGGTAAAGCATGCCAGGTGCAGACAGCCTGGAGAAGACCTCACCCACCCCAGAGCTCCTAGCTCCAATAAACTACAGCCTCCAACAAGGACAACTGCACACGTGCTCCTGGAAGAGGCTGTACAAATGGGATGAATCCGTGGGGCCAAAAAAACTAAGAGAAATATATGCACATGTAAGAAGAGAGCTATACACAGCTCAAGTGTTTGTTAGGAAGCAGTAAAAGAAGCCACAGATAAAAAAAAAATTATCAAATCCACAACCAATGATATTGTCTTTCATGTCATTAGTCTGCTACAGGATAAGAAGACAAAAAATATCATCACAGGGCAGAACTAACTAACGGAATTGGTTTATGCTGAACTGCCCCTACAAATCCTCAGTTTTGAGACAAAGAAATGCAYAGCTGCCTTTCAAGATAACATGCAGAGCTGCAAGAGTATTATTGATTCTAGAAGAGAAGGGAACAGCTGAATTTTTGGCGTGTCTTGTAGGTCACCTCACCAGGGCTGGACAGCCTGCCTTTTGAAACTACCTACAGATTTAGCTGAGTCAAGATACTATCTGGAAAACACATTRTATTTCTGCACAGCACTCCACGAGTTAGAACTACACCAGTGAGAATGCCCTGTAGGATTTTTTTTTTCTTTTTAACATTAAAGTCACCAACATGAAAACTGATCATACTGATTCTTGCAAAGAGCCTGGCTGGCCGTGGCAATGCCAGGGCAACCTTAGGTGATGTAACACACCTACTGCCTAAGCAAGAGTGAAAGCAAGAAAAATATGGTTTCACTGGATGCTTCGAAAGCAAAGTGGCTGCTTTGGGCCACGTCCTGGAAAACAACCTTTCAGCCCCTCTTTCATTAAGGGATGAAAACGCTGAGAAGGAGCACTGAGTAGAGCGCCCCGGG